GTGGACCCTCACCCTACCGATCTGCCTGCGGGGTGCCGCCGAATTCCAGAAATGTGGCAAATCCCATTTGTTTTTGGACCCTGACCCTGCCGATCTGCGTGAGGGGCGCCACCGAATTTCAGAAATTTGGCAAATCCCATGTGTTTTTGCATCCTGACCCCGCCGATCTGCGTGAGGGGCGCCGCCAAATTTCAGAAATGTGGCTAATCCCTTGTGTTTTTGGACCCTGACCCTGCCGATCTGCGTGAGGGGCGCCGCCGAATTCAGAAATGTGGCAAATCCCATTTGTTTGTGGACCCTCACCCTACCGATCTGCCTGAGGTGCCACCGAATTTCAGAAATTTGGCAAATCTCATGTGTTTTTGCACCCTGACCCCGTTGATCTGCGTGAGGAGGGGCGCCGCCAAATTTCAGAAATGTGGCTAATCCCTTGTGTTTTTGGACCCTGACCCTGCCGATCTGCGTGAGGGGTGCCGCCGAATTCAGAAATGTGGCACATCCCATGTGTTTTCGGACCCTGACCCCGCCGATCTGCGTGAGGGGTGTCAACTTTTACCCGCCCCAGCAATTCAGAGCACACGCTCAGGGCGATGTAAAAATGCCCGTTTTGGGCCTCCCCCCCCTCGCGAGGTCCATCAACAAGGAACAGTAAGCATCAAGAAGCAGAACTGTAACAGTGGAAACTGGAAGCTGCAACTGGCACAGGAAACTGCGAAGCTTCGGCCTACAGCCTGGTGGCCCCACAAGGGGGCCGGCGGATTACGTGGCCAGAGCGCACTGGCAGCACACGCATACACTGGGGTTCGATGAACTCGAGATGTCCCCGCGCAAGATTGTCGAACATCTCGCGGGGCACCCCCGAGTCGCTTACGACCGATCCGACCCCTCATCGCTGCAACATTCCAGCCCGAAGCATACGGAGGAAACAACCTCGGCGGAAACAGCGTACGCCCAGGACGTTCAGGCCGTCGGTACACAAACGCCGGCAGGCCCAACTGGGCCCGAGCATATCCCCATGTCTCCACTCGCGCGTGAGTTGGGCCCCCGCTGATACCCCAACGCGGATCCTCCATAACTTCAGCAGGGCCCAATGTAGATCAGCACGGCTCATAATTCACTTCTTGGAGAGGTCCCGATCATCCCCAGCGCGGAACGCGCCAGGGGATAGGTGGGCGAGGCACGCCACATTGAAAGGCGCCAAGGGGCATTCGCCGCACGAGGGGATCTGGCAAGGCACGAACGGCTGATCTCCTCGCGCCGGGCAAACCGGAGGGGTAAACCCCTCCCCGAATGGGAAGAAGGGGTTGGAAGAGGAAGCGCTCTAAACAACTCACGCTCTGAAGGGCTGGTGGGATTCATCACTCCCTCTCCGGCTCCCCCACTTCCCCCGCGTCCTCCTCTGTATTTTTGTACCAGTGCCCAGAAAGGGCTGGCGATTAAACCCGGACGATTAGATGCACAAATCTCTAAACCGTTGAGCGGCCTTGCGGCGTCTTTTTCCCAGTGCAGGCCTGCCTGGCCCCGGTTGCTTTGAAATTGTGCGGCCTCAGTCGTTAGCATGGGAGAAACCATGCATCAAAACGTTGGGTGTGCCTTTTGAGAACCCCCAACCGCCAACGAGGGCAATGTGACATTCATTCAATTGCGCGGCTCTATCTACATGTGTCCATGCGCGAATCAGGGGGAAATCCAACATGCATTTCATTCGTGTTTTACTGTACGCCGCACTGCGCTAGCACAAAGAGAACCATGCACGAGTGAGGGGAAATGAGGAAAAGAGGACGAACAACCGATCAGGGGGGAAATGGAGAATGCATGTTCATGTGTAGACGGCGTGTCTACTGGAATGTTTTTTTTTTTGTCAGAAACTGTGATCGCGACCGTTCCCCAAGCAGTATGTTTGCCCTTGCACGGTCTTGGAAATCGCCCCCCTCGATGCCTCATGCATGCTGACATGTACTACGACTCTTATTCATTTGAGAGGTCGCGTCCGTATTGTTAGACGAAAAGTTGTGTTCTGGTGTGATGATGATGGGGGGGCGCATGACGATTGCGAGGCACAGGATCGTTTCAATTCTTTGGCGCCGGGAGATCGCATCGCGGCTGTGAAGCACAAGATTGCATCAATGCGGTGTGGCAGGTGGAGTTCACAGCGCGACAGTGGAACCAAACATCGCGTCAGTTCTGGCTGGCATGACGAGAAGGGTGCAACCTGATTGAGGCGCATAATGGCATACGTGCTGGCGTTGTGGGGGGTCGCAGCACGGGAGCGAAGCCAACCACCATATGAATATTGGTGCGACGGGAGATCGCAGCACGATTCGAACACACAAAATCGCACGAGTTTTGGTTCGACGTTGGGGCACCCCACGATTGTGAGTCACACAACCGCGTCAATGTTGTTCCAAAGGGACCCCGCAACACGATTGAAGTGTCAAAGCAATCTATTATATTGGCCAGTGGCCCCCCTGACGGGTTAATTGAGGGAGCTCCCGAAATGTATTCCAGCAGGGGCGTTCGAAGGCAGAGCTTGGGTTCTGCCTCCACCGTACCATTGCGACCAGTTTGGTTTAAGTAAGATTGTTTGCACTGCTCGAACAAAGTCCTGTGTACGAGCAGTGTTCCGATGTTCGAACAACCGCTTCCGCGTTTGAACATGTGTTGCCATGTTCGAGCATGTGATTACAGATTGATTCCCACGAGAGCAAACAGCCACATGGTGTTCGAACTCTGTGTTTGGTATTCGGACAGTTTATGCGACATTCGAATAGTGTCCCAGGTGTCGCTGCATGATTGCGTCTGCGCGATACGACTGCGAATTCGGCTGCTTGGGGACGGCAGTCCGACACCGAATGTTGTTTCTTGGGCACAGGGGGCCGGCATCTTGGGTTGTTTGTGCGCGCGTCGGGAACAACAAGGAAAATCGGCGCGACACCCGCGCTGTTTCAGGGGTCATGCTGGGCGCCAAAACAGGTTGGCACCACTGCAATGTGCAGTGCTTTCACGCTTCGGCACCTTCGGCTCCGGAGCCAAAAAGGAAGGGCCTGACTCGAATTGGGGCGCCAGCATCGGGGCCCCAGTGATAAGGAGGGCATGCGAACCCCTCCTTTCGGGATTGGACCGGCCCGAGGGGGGCCAACAAAGTACTAGGCCACCAACTTCCTTGCAGGGTTCACGGTGTTCCTATGGCGGCCCAGCCCGAGTTGATTTAGAAGTTAAAAACGAAGTTGCATCACAAACCCTTCAGTTGGATGGTGACGCTCATTCCATCAACGCGTTGCATATTGAGGTTTTCGCTTTAGTATTAAAGCCATATGTTGGCGCCATGTCGCTGGCAATACTCAAGGTGCACGCTACATGCCGCGGTACCACGTATTCATGTATCTCTAGCTTCAAAGCCATACAAAATTCAGCAACAATCCCAGCACACGCGCACACGCAACACGCATGCATTGAACCCGCGCAAATAAGAATTTTAGCAACCAGCCGCAGCAAGCAAAAGCTCTCACGCAGTCGCATCCGTCTACGATGGAGCCGAAACTAAGCCGCCCCAACATCTCACGTATGCGATTGTCTTGAGCCCGCGCCCAAACATGCAACATTAATATCGACGCACGCACAAAACACACCTCAACACAGGCATGCGAACGCGCATTCTCTGTCTCTCGCGCAAGTGTAGACTCGTCGCCGCAGTCGTACACAAGCAATGCGCACGTCGAGAAAGCCACCTTGCAACTCCTGCTATGGCCCCGCTCCTCCTCGCCCCCCCCCTTCCGCCTCCAATATGCGCGCGAGGCTCTGCATTGCTACAGCAAGAGTTGTTGCGCTTGCTCGCCGGCTCGCTTGCTTTCACGCAGCTTGAAAGTAGAACGGCCAGTCCTAAGTAGGAAAAAAATACGTTTTTGGAAACACCCGTCATCGAGCTCGCCAGTACATCAATCTTGGAAGTGATATCCTGGGCTGCGCTTCATGGATAGCCGTTGCGCAACCTGCACCTGTGGGCCAAGGCCAGCAGCTTGCGACCATGGCCCGCCTCAAGTTGCTGGCATGCGGGAGCGACCCGTGCGGGTGGGCCCCAGGTCTACACGTCTTTCTTGTTGAGGCATTGTGCCGAGCGCTATTGCGATGAATCGTTTACGTTAGGCGCTTGGCCTTCACCGCCCGCTCAGGCTCGTTCTGGCAGTAGCCAGTGACGAACAAGGGCCCCAAACGGGCCAGAAAGAGTTCGAGAGGACCCAGCGCAGCCCCATGGGAGACGATTCTCTGGGAAGCTGTCGCGAGGACGGGCAGTGTGGGAACGCCAGTGGAACACGGAAGGGGGGGCACGCATCAAATTGGAGTCGGGGTCAATCCAGCAGCCCCCATGTTCAGAGCGTAGGGCGCCCAGGAGGCACCCACGAGGTGGCGCGGGCGGCAACGTGGCACAAGTTCGGCATACCCTCCAAGCGCAGGGCACCCACGAGGCGGCACGGGCGGCAACGTGGCGCAACCTCGGCACACAACCCAAGCGTAGGGCACCCACGAGGCAGCACGGGCCACAACGTCGCGAAAATTTTGAAGATCGTCAAGGTCTACCTGAACGAAGCAAAGCGTAAGCACCGTATGTGGAAAACGGTTGTTGCAAATGCCAGAATCTAAATGATGACAAGCAATGGGGGGATCTCGGGCGAAACGCCAGGCCCGCCCAGACGACACGACAGTGGCGCGACCATGTATCAACGTACGACGACAAGTAGGAATGCGAGAAATGCACGGGGGGTGTCACGCAGCATCGTCTTGGGCGATGATTATTGAATCAGGTTCGTGGCCTGCTCGCGGACGTCGTCGTCGCCATTCCGAATTGTTGGTCTGGCTGCTCTGCAGCAGGCATGCTCATTTACAAATCGTCCAACCCCGCGTTTTGCCCCTACTCGCCATCCTATGCGAACCAGGAAGGGGGATCGGCAAAGAGGGAGAGGGAGGAGGAGCATCTCAGAGCACAGAGTGCTCACTCGTGCGAGGACTGGCTGGACGAGAACGGCCGCGGGCGCATCAACGGGGGTCTGATGATGGCGACCACTGCTGCAGAGAAGGAGGGGAGGAAGATGAGGAGGAGGAGGAGGAGGAGGAGGAGGAGGAGGAGAAGGAGGAGGAGGAGGAGGAGGAGGAGGGGGAGGACGGCAGCGACAAGGAGGACGAGGACGAGGAGGGCGAGAGAGGAGAGAGGTGGAAGAAGGGGCTAGGGCGGAGGTGACGAGGGCGCGGAGTGCGAGGCAAGGGCAGAGGAATCAAAGGAGTCTCTCGGGCGCGGGCGAGGGGGGGGGGGGAAGGTCGAGCAAGGCCCGAGAAGCGAGGGGAGGGGTCGAGGAGGGTGAGGAGGTCTTGGGGCTCTCTTGGGAGCCGGAGGGACCACGGCGGCGGGGGGGGGGGGAATGCTTACTCGCACGCCTATTTGTATGCAGCTGCGCAGCCCTCGCCCTGACCCGAGCACGTTGGCTTCCAAACCCACAGCGCCCTCCTGGTTCGGGCTCCGTCCCTCTGCCCCGCTTCCGGACGGCTGCTGAAGCAGTATGGGGCTCTCCTCGGGGGGGGGCACGCCGGGCTCCCTGCAGGGGCTCGGGGGGGCACCTGACAGCGATCTCGAAGGCTTCTCGGCAGGTCGGGGGGGTGGTCGGAAGGCTCGAGGTGGGAGGGGGCCTTCTCGGAAAGTGTTGCTTGGGACGGTGTTGGAACGTTTTGGGTTCTTTTGGAGAACCTATTGGGTCTTCCTCCTCCTCCTCCGCTTCCTCCGCTTCCTCCTCCTCCTCCTCCTCCTCATCCTCCTCCTCCTCCTGTGGGAGGGGGCCTTCTCGGAAAGTGTTGCTTGGGACGGTGTTGGAATGTATTGGGTTCTCTTGGAGGGCCTCTTGGGAGGTTCAATAAAATAGATTGGGCCCTCGTAAGCCGTCTCGGATCGGTTGGGGGCCTGTGGTGGGCTCTCTTGGGTTTTCTAGGTTCCGTCGTGGAGCCTTGTTGGGCTGCTTTGGACCCCCCAGAGGCTCGATGAGACAAGAAATGCAACATCGAGGGGGATGGCCTCAGCATGAGGTGGACTTGGTTAGCAGGCTGGAATATTTCGTTGACTTAGTCTACGCAGGCGAGATGTAATGGTTACATGCGTCATACTTCGCAGAGTTGGAAGTGGTGGAGGAGCTCGAAGATCAAAGGATGCAAGACGAGTTGACATATCGCCAATCCGACGCCACGCCGACCACAATCCGATCGCTATACCCATCCCCCTCCCCCAAACCTACCTATTCCACCCGAAGGGTGATCCTGTAGGCATGCCCAGCGGTATGGTGCGTTACTTCATGTCTATGTAATCAAGTGCGTAAACATGCATATGTATATGTAAGTATACATGTGGAGATGCACCTATAGACATACATACATAAATAGACATATCTATATATATATATATATATATATATATATATGAAAGAGCGTGTTCTACCGCTGCTGGCGGAAAACCAGGGGGGGTCACTACCGGTTCGTCCGGAAAAACGGGGGGGGTCACTACCGGTTCGAACCCCCCCCCCCCCCAGTTCATCATGAAAAGGGGGGGGGTCACTACCGGTTCGAACCCCCCCCCCCCCCTCGAAAACCGGGGGGGGGTCACTACCGGTTCGACCCCCCCCCCCCCCTCGAAAACCGGTGGGGGTGCGGACAGTGGTGGGGACGGTGGTGAGGGGACAGCGGGACAGTGGTGGGGACAGTGGGACAGTGGGACAGTGGTGGGGACGGTAGTGGTGGGGACAGTGGTGGGGACAATGGTGGGAACAGTGGGGACAGTGGACAGTGGTGGGGACGGTGGTGGTGGGGACAGTGGTGTGGGGACAGTGGGAATGAGGTGGAAACAGTGGGACAGTGGAGGGTACAATGGTGGTGGGGACAGTGGTGAAGGCGGTGGCGAGGACGGCGGTGGGACAATGGGACAGAGGTACAGTGGGGACAGTGGTGGGGACAGTGGGGACAGTGGTGGGAACAGTGGGACAGCTCAGTGGGACAGCGGAGGAGTCAGTGGGACAGTGGGGACAGTGGGGATAGTCGGGCAGTGGTTGGGGCCGTGGAGACAGTGGGGAGAGTGGAACCGTGGTGGGAACAGTGGTGGGGACAGTGGGGACAGTGCGACAGTGGTGGGGGCACTGGTGGGGACAGTAGGGACGGTGGTGGAACCAGTGGGGACAGTGGTGGTGAGGACAGTGGTGCTGGGAACAACAGTGGGGGATGTGATGCGGACGGTGGTAGGGACCGGGAGTCGTTTGCTGGCGGTGGTGGGGGGGGGGGAGGGGTTCGAACCGGTAGTGACCCCCCTCCGGTTTTCGAGGGGGGGGGGGTTCGAACCGGTAGTGACCCCCCCTGTTTTCGAGGGGGGGGGGTGTTCGAACCGGTAGGACCCCCCTCGGTTTTCGAGGGGGGTGGGGGGGGAGGGTTAGGGGGAGGGGGTTTGCCGGGAGAGGGGGGGGGGGGAGGGGGTTCCAGCAGGGGGGGGGGGGGGGGCGACCCCCGGGTTCCGGAGGAAAAGGTTGGCAATTTTCTTCAGTAAAGCGGCGGTGGATCACGCTCTCTCCTATATATATATGTATGTATATATATATATATGTTTGAGAAAGCATATACAGATCTATGTATTTATATGTATGTATGTATGTATGTATGTATGTATGTATGCATGCATGCATGCATGTATGTATGTATGTATGTATGTATGTATGTATGTATGTATGTATGTATGTATGTATGTTAGTATGTATGTTAGTACAGCCATGTACATATAAATAAAGATTCTCGGAGGTTAGGGGTGAGATCGAAGTGGAACGGAGGTCCCCCCACTGGGAGAGATTTCGGTTTTGGGTTCTTGTCGTGCGTGCGGACGAGGCGAAGCTGCGCGGACGGGCGAGAGTGATGACCCCGCTGTGGCTAAGGTGGGGCAAGACAATTGTCCAGCCCTCCCCCCAGGCGGGCGGGCGGCGGCTGGGGGTGTCTCGCCGTGGTGTCCAGTCGCTGTCCCGTCGCTGTCCCGTCGTTGTCACGTCGTTGTCCCGTCGTTGTCCCGTTGCTGTCCCGTCGCTGTCCCGTCGTTATCGTGTCGGTGTCCCGTCCGTGTCCCGTGAGGGTCCCGTCCATGTCCCGTCGTTGTCCCGCTGGTGTCCCGTAGTGAGATCGATAGTGAGATCGATAGTGAGACCGATAGTGAGATCGATAGTGCGATCGATAGTGAGATCGATAGAGAGATCGATATAGAGAGATCGATGGTGTAAGATCGATAGTGAAATCGATAGTGAGATCGATAGTGAGATCGATTGAGTGAGACCTTGGTTCCTCCCCCCGAACCTCATTATCACCCAGAATGTGGTCGTAGCATACATACGTACATACATACATACATACATACATACATGCATAATTATAGACACACAAGTGTGCCACATGTGTTCCTAAGAGACGGTATGTGATCTCAGAGACGATGTGTGATTATCGTGTTTCCCCCGCCTTTCAGGCCAAGAACACCCCCTTCACAAAGCAGCTATTCCTGGACACTTTTCACGCTCACGTTGAAGGGCGATATCTGCGAGAGCCTTGGGGAATCGGCGTCCAGGGGCGCCGCCGCAGCCATCCTCAGGGAGCCAAGAAATGTGCTTGTCCAGCCCTTTCGCACGTCAAGAGAACGACTGGCACGGGGGCGGGGCAGGCGTCGTTTGTTGACTCCCTGGCCTCTCTCAGCTTTGCTGACAGGTTTCCCCACCGTGTGCTCGAGCAAGACTTCAAGAGTCAGCCCAACTCGTCGCAGCTTTACGCACCCCTCCCCCACCCCGCCCCTCCCGACTCTTCTCCCTCATCGCCCCGCCCCCCCCTCCGCTCTCCTCTTCGGCGCCATCCGAGACTTCAGGAGTCAATCCATCTCACCGCCACGTTACGCTCAACATTCCCCATCCCGCCCCTCCCACGTCTTACCCTCCATCGCCCCGCCCCCCTCCACTCTCTCTTCCTCTCCTCCAGCGTCATCCGAGAATGTTCCCATGATTCAGGCCCGCCCTTCTCGTCCCCACAGCCTTAAGCCGTCTCTCCCCTCCCCGCAGCTTCAGGCCCTCCCTCCCCCTCCCGCCCCTTCCCGTTCCTCGCCCTCGTCGGCCCGCCCCTGCCCCTCTCCGCTTCTCTCGTCTGGTGCTATCCGAGATTGTGCCCTATCCGAGCGCACTCTTCGTGGGAGCGCGCGGTGGTCTGTCCTGACGTGGGGCACCGAGGCCATCTTGAGACCACCATCGTCGAAACAGTGTTGACGATGCGGCCCGTGGAGGTGTCGTCCTGTCTCGTATGCTCGTATGATTTATGTTCTCTCTCTCTCTCTCTCTCTCCCTCTCCATATATATATATATATATATATATGTGTGTGTATGTGATATGTGTGCACGCGTGTGTGTGTGTTTGCGTGTGTGCGTGTGTGTGTGTGAGTGTTAGTGTTTGTGCATGTGCATGTGCATTCATATGTGTCTGTGCCTGTGTCTGTGTCTGTGTCTGTGTATGTTTGTGACTGCGTGTGTGACTGTGTGTGTGTGTTCGTGTGTGTAGGTGCGTGTAGGTGTGTGCGTGTGTTGATGTTTTGTGTGCGTGTGTGCGTGTGCTGTGCGGTGTATGTGTGTGTCTCTCTATCTGTCGTCTTGCCCATATCTCTATCTCCACCCTTCACTCTCTTTCTGTCTATCTCTCGCTCTCTCTCTCTCTCTCTCTTTCTCTCTTCCTCGCTCTGTCTCCTCTCTCTCTCTCTCTATCTGTGGACCACCGCCTCTCTCCACACTGCGTGTTTACCTCTGCCGCCTGCAGGTACACGTGCACCAGCAACGAGCAGATATGCTTAAACGATCTGTACTACGGCAACCAGGGCAAGGCCTGCTTCGGCAAGCTTCACGCCAGCAGGAAGTGGAGGAGACACAGGGTGGAGGGGAGTCGGTTCATCAAGCAGTGGTGCGGAGCTGCGGTCTGTTAGCCTGGTAATCGGCGACGGGGTGGTTTAGACCCGCCCTGCGAGGTGTTGTTGCTTGCAGGCTGGTGTTCAACGACGATTCCCACGCTTGATTGAGGGGAGGTGAATCAGAGGCGATGGCCAGGGCGCTCTGGAAATAGAGAGGAAATTGCAGCCACCCATGTCTGTTGGTCAGCGCTGACGCCAAACAGTGCGTTTCTAGCAATGTACGTTGTGCAATCGATGTGGTGCAATCTGTGTGGTGCAATCTATGCTGTGCACCCTATGTGGTGCAATCTATGTGACGCATCTAGGTGTTGCAATATTTGTGGTGCAGTCTATGTGGTGATTTCGATTTCTGTTCGCAGTGAGTTTTCCATTCCACTGCTCGTGCAATCATCCCACCCACCCACCCGCAACTTGGTTTGTCAAACGCATGCGGCGGCGATTGGGATTAGTGTTCGGGGTGGGCTGGTGCATCTCTCTGCTGCCGCGCTAGCCCGCGCATGCTCTCGCGCGCAGCGGCTATATAGTTTGGCGCTACCAACGCGGCCGCGGTGGCGCTAACCGCTGGGCACTTGCCATCGGGCATGCCACTGCAAGTCGGTGACTTGGGCGGACGCGGTATCATGGCGACGCCGACAGCAGTAAACATGATTATGCGAGTAGCGATGATGGTGACGATGGTGGCGTTGAAGACGGCAAGGCCAATGTCGGCGCCGATGTTGACCACCCCCGCCGATAATGATAACGATGTCCTCGCGTCGGCATGAAGGATTCTGAACGAGTTCGACATGCGTGTGCGGCCGCCGCGCGCGAGTAGCCCGCGCAGCATGATCTGACACGGATCGTGCACCCTCCCTCTCCCCTTTTCACGCGCACACGGGCGTTCGAATGAATCTGACATGCGGGACGAGAGACCTGTTTCGCATAATTTGGTCAACGTGTTTGAAAACCTGTGGGTTCCTTGAGAGCCCGCAAGACCGCGAGCGCAGGCTTCTTTGAAAATTGATGTTGTTAAAACCATGTGCGAAATCCGCGCGAAACCGAAGGTGTTTCTATGGATTCCGGCATGCGCGCGCGACGACGCGCGCATGCGCACGTCCTATTCGTGGCAAGGGGTCTTTGCGACAGCACGCGCGCAAGGGCGTGCGCGAGAGGCCCGTTTGGCAGAATTTGGTGAACACGCTGAATACAGAGAATTCGCAGGAGCGCTGGCACAGGTTTTTGTTTGAAAACCCATGTTGCGAAACCATGTGTGTCAATATGTTTTCGGAACACCCGATTTGGACACCCGTACGAAGCCCAAGGTTTTTGACAGATTCCGGCATTCGCGCGCGACGACGCGCGCGTGTGCAATTCGCTCCGTTTGTTTGTTGCACTGGATGGTTGAACACTTGTGAGTTCAATAGTCGATGCGCGCACAGTATTTGTTGCAGAGGATGAGGGGGGCGAGCCCCGGTTGGGCTGGGTGGATACGAGCTCATATTCTCGATGGGCGATGGACAATGCGAAAAAGTGGACTGATAACCCCGGGGACGGTTGGTCACAATATTCTGTTAGAAACAAAGACATATATATCTATATATGTATATATACACACATACATACATACATACATACATACATACACATGTATACATTTACATGTATGTATGTATATACATATGTGTGTGCGTATGCATGCTGATGTGTGTGATGCAAGATGTTTATATGTTTCAATATACGTGTCGCAATCTACACGTTGTGCAATCTATGGGGCGACATTTATGTGATGCAATGAATTTCTGTTCGCAGTGAGTTGTCCACCCCACTGCTCGCGCAAACATCCCACCCACCCACCCGCAACTTGGTTTGCAAACCTCACGCCGCGGTCATTGCAATTAGTGTTTGGCGCTGGCTGGTGCATCTTCGCGGCCGCGCCAGCCCGCGCATGCGCGCGCGCAGCGGCCAGGTAGTAGTTTGGCGCCGACTGACGCGGCCGTGGTGGTGCTGACCGCTCGGCACATCCAGGCGGGCACTTGGGTGCGAGTTGGCGACTTGGGCGGGTGCGGTATCATAACTTCGTCGACAATTGTATACACGATGGTGATGATGATGGTGATGATGATGATGTTGATGACGACGATGAGAGTGGCAGCGATGTTGGTGACGATGCTGACAGCGACGACGGCGCGGCAAATGACGGCACTGATACCGATCACGCCAATGACGATGACGGCGTTTTCGCGTCGGTGATGAAGGTTTGGAAAAAGGAATTCGAAGTGCGCGCGCGGCTGACGAGCGAGAGCGGCTCGCATGGTATTACGTGACACGGACCGTGCCACCCCAGCACGCGTGCAAGGGCGTTCGATCGATTTCGACATGCGCGCGTGAAGCCCATTTGTTGGCATGTAATGAACATGTTGAACAACGTATGGACTTTTAAGACTTCGCAGCGGCGCGCGCGCACGTTTTTGTTGAAACATTGCGTTGCGAAGCCCTGTGTTTTTATTAAACATATGTTTGGACATTCGATTTTGAAAACCGCTCCGACACCGAAAGTTGTTTAAGGATGCCGGCATGCGCGCGCGACAACGCGCGCGCACTTCGCCCCATCTGTTGCAGAAGATTCTCGCGACGGCACGCGCGCAACGGCGTTCGAACGATTTCGACACGCTCGCGTTCGAAACCCGTTTGGTAGTACTTTCTGAAAATGTTTGAAAACTCACGGTTGTCGTAATTATTCGCAAAGCCGCGCGCGCATGCTTTTTTACCTAGCAGCTTTTGTTGATAGGTTTCTAGTGGACTCAAAAGAGAGCAGCAGATGACTCCTCAGGGGGGTCTGGGCGGGACCCGGGGAGGCTGCCGCCGAAGCCGAAATCGCTTCGGACATCCTCGCAAAATCGCTTTTGGTGCTCCCAGAACTCCATTCCCGGGCCACATTTTGGATGCCCGGAGCCAACTGTAGGCCACTTCGTGCTCTTCGACTTCCCAGAACTCCATTCCCGGGCCACATTTTGGATGCCCGGAGCCAACTGTAGGCCACTTCGTGCTCTTCGATTTCCCAGAACTCCATTCCCGGGCCACATTTTGGATGCCCGGAGCCAACTGTAGGCCACTTCGTGCTCTTCAAGTTCCCAGAACTCCATTCCTGGGCATGATTTTGAATGCCCGGAGCCAACTGTAGGCCACTTCGTGTTCTTCGAGTTCCCAGAACTCCACTCCTGGGCCACATTTTGAATGCTGAGGCAGGCTGATGCTGCGGCCGAGGCAGGCTGAGGCTGAGGCAGGCTGAGGCTGAGGCCGAGGCTGAAGGCAGACTGAGGCTGAGGCTGAAGCAGACTGAGGCTGAGGCTGAGGCAGGCTGAGGCTGAGGCTGAAGCAGGCTGATGCTGAGGCAGGCTGAGGCTGAGGCTGAGGCTGATGCAGGCTGAGGCTGAGGCAGGCTGAGGCTGAGGCCGAGGCTGAAGGCAGACTGAGGCTGAGGCTGAAGCAGGCTGAGGCTGAGGCTGAGGCAGGCTGAGGCTGAGGCAGGCTGAGGCTGAGGCTGAGGCAGGCTGAGGCTGAGGCTGTGACTGCGACTGCCGTTGCCGCTGCGACTGTCATCGCGAATGCGACTACGACTGCGAGAACAGCAGAATTCGACAACTGGATTTTCATCTGAATCTTAAGGGGAATGCTTTCAGATATGCTTCTACACATCGCTGTTAGGTTGCTTTGCCGTTTTTTTTTTGAAAATCCGCGTTGCGAAACCCCGCGTGTTGTTACAATTGTTTTGGACAGTCGATTTTGAAACCCTCTCGAAACCGAATATTTTTGAAGGACTTCGGCATGCGCGCGCGACGACGCGCGCGGGCGCAATTCGTCCCATTTGATGCATAGGATTCTTGAAAACTTACAGTCAACCCGCATGGTAAGGATGGAAAAACGTTCCCAAGGGTACCATTGCATCCTTGCTTCCTCGACCCATCCTTGGCCGCTTTCGTTGACCGCGCCCCGCCCGAAAAGCTTCGAAATGAGCGCCCAAGGCCCTTGCACCCTTATTGCGCATCCTTACTATACTGGTTGACTGTATGGTTTTTGATAAACGACTGTGCGCGCATAGTATGGTTTGCGGAGGATTGCGGGGGGGGCGATACCGGCCCGGCTGGGATAGTATGACGTCACAGGTAGGATGGACATTGGGTCAAAAGCCTATGTGTTTTGCATCGGTTCCGGGGGGCTCATCAACCCCGGGGAAGGGAGGGTTGTAGAATGTGCTTTCTTTATGCCTATACACACATATATATATGGACGCAATACGTACAAGTATAAGAGGGTGAGAGAGAGAGGGAGAGAGACAAACAGGTACACAGTCACAATGCTCTTCAGACGCGCTGGTGAAGTCAGCAAAGGCGGGGTGCACGCTAAGCTAGTTCACCACCGTGCGCGGCAGTGCGTAGAGAGCGTGCAACTTTGGCAGTTTGAGTGGGGCCTCCAAGCATCAAACATTGACGGTGCAGCAAGATGAGGTCCGAGAAAAGAGAGCGAAGGAGACAGGGACATATACATTCACACGCTTCTATATATAACCGGGGAGAGAGAGAGAGAGAGGAAAAAAAAAAATGCGAGAGAGAAAGAGAGAGAGAGACACACACACACACACACACACACAAACACACACAAACACACACACACACATACACGCACCCACACACACACAAACACACACGCACGCACGCTCGGCGCCGGCCCCGGCGCGCCGCTGGTGGCTGGCAGCGCCGACGCCCACACCCACCCCCGCGCCCACGCCCACGCCAACGCTCACACGCACGCCCACGCCCACACCCGCGCCCACGCCCACGCCCGCGCCCACGCTCACGCACACGCCCGCGCCCGCGCCCACGCCCGCGCCGGCGCCCACGCCCACCCCTGCGCCCACGCCCACGCCCACGCTCACGCCCAAACTCACACCCATACCGACGCCCACACCCACGCCAAGGCCCACGCCCGCGCCCGCGCCCACGCCCATGCCCACACCAACGCTCACACGCACGCCCACGCCTAACCCACGCCCACGCCCATGCCCACGCACACGCCCACGCACACGCCCGCGCCCACGCCCACGCCACGCCCACGCCAACGCTCACACGCACGCCCACGCCCACACCCGCGCCCACGCCCGCGCCCACGCTCACGCACACGCCCGCGCCCGCGCCCACGCCCGCGCCGGCGCCCGCGCCCACCCTTGCGCCCACGCCCACGCCCACGCTCACGCCCAAACTCACACCCATACCGACAAGGCCCACGCCCGCGCCCACGCCCATGCCCACACCAACGCTCACAGCACGCCCACGCTACACCACGCCCCACGCCATGCCCCACGCACCCACGCCACGCACACGCCCGCGCCACGCCCACGCCACTACCAACGCCAACGCTCACACGCACGCCCACGCCCACACCGCGCACGCCCACGCCCGCGCCCACGCTCACGCACACGCCCGCGCCCGCGCCCACGCCCGCGCCGGCGCCCACGCCCACCCCTGCGCCCACGCCCACACGCCCACGCTCACGCCCAAACTCACACCCATACCGACGCCCACACCCACGCCAAGGCCCACGCCCGCGCCCGCGCCCACGCCCATGCCCACACCAACGCTCACACGCACGCCCACGCCTACACCCACGCCCACGCCCATGCCCACGCACACGCCCACGCACACGCCCGCGCCCACGCCCACGCTCACGCCCACGCCAACGCTCACACGCACGCCCACGCCCACACCCGCGCCCACGCCCACGCCCGCGCCCACGCTCACGCACACGCCCGCGCCCGCGCCCACGCCCGCGCCGGCGCCCACGCCCACCCCAGCGCCCACGCCCACGCCCACGCTCACGCCCAAACTCACCACACCACGCTCACACCGCACGCCTACACACCCACGCCCATGCCCACGCACACGCCCACGCACACGCCCGCGCCCACGCCCACGCTCACGCCCACGCCAACGCTCACACGCACGCCCACGCCCACACCCGCGCCCACGCCCCACGCCCGCGCCCACGCTCACGCACACGCCCGCGCCCGCGCCCACGCCCGCGCCGGCGCCCACGCCCACCCCTGCGCCCACGCCCACGCCCACGCTCACGCCCAAACTCACACCCATACCGACGCCCACACCCACGCCAAGGCCCGCGCCCGCGCCCACGCCCATGCCCACACCAACGCTCACACGCACGCCACGCCTACACCCACGCCCACGCCCATGCCCACGCACACGCCCACGCACACGCCCGCGCCCACGCCCACGCTCACGCCCACGCCAACGCTCACACGCACGCCCACGCCCACACCCGCGCCCACGCCCACGCCCACACCAACGCCCACGCCCACGCCCACGCCCGAGCCCACACCCACGCCAAGACCCACGCCCACCCACGCCCACGCTCACACGCACGCTCACACGCACACCCGCGCCCACGCCCTCGCCCACGCCCACGCACACGCCCGCGCACGCGCCCACGCCGGCGCCCACGCCCACGCCCACTGCCGTGCCAACGCCCAGGTCCACGCCCACGCTCACGTTCACGCCGGCCGCAGTGGCGCAGGCCCGGGGGGGGGGGTTTTGAGCCCCCCCTTTACCCGGAGTGGGGCGGGTGGCCCGCTGCGGACCCCTCCCCTGCAGAACGCGCTCTTTCCGATGTGTGGACCCAACAACCATTCAGTTATCCACAGTCTACTTCTTGAGCCTAGGTTGCGAGACCAGTTGGTTATTCCTCCCACCATGGAGGATACAACGAGCACAGAAGCCATGACGCCATGCAGCCGCCACTCCCGAAACCCCCGTTGGTTCCGATTTGGCGCTCAGTCAGCCCATGTACATGCGTCTGGGGCACGCACGGAGGCGCGAAGAGAATCACGCGTTGCGCACCGTGGCCTATGTCGCCAAGGTGCCCTTCGTCGGGGCGGCGGCACGCTGACGCGAAGGTACCCATCGTGGGGTGCGATGCGCGAAGTTAGGTGGCCCAGATGTCCTCTCGATCTGTCCTCTTTGCGAGACTCGGGAGGCGATAATTGAGCGGCCGTCGCCCGCGTGCAATTTGCGCTCCGCACGCGATCTTCATCTCATCGTGGGTGCCTGGAGAGGAGCGAGGGGCCTCCTCTCTTCAGCGTATCTTCACCGCGCACGCGATCTTGGCCAGCGGCAAGCAGTACAATCGCGGTGCCGAGAGAGGTCTGCGTGGGACCAATTCTCCCGAGTCCCATTCTCGCATTGTGCAGTCGCTTCACTTTTCGATGGAAGGACCTGGGCTGTGTACCGCAAGACGGGGCCACTTTCACACAGCGCTCGCTGAGCGGGGTTGCGATGAACTCCGAGTCCTCTTGGAGTCTGTGGGGCTCTTGAGGGCCCCTCGTTGAGGTCGTGGAAGCGGTCTCGGGTTCCTTGGCATCGCGCGGACGTGTGCATTGTTCTCGGCGAGAACCATCGAGGAGCATCCTGGATCATCTTGCGAGAAGTAACGTACGAAACCGAGAAATGCACGGAGAATGGACATCCGAGCGATGGCAACTTTCTAGTTTCCGCTGTTGGGTGCCTCCTGGGCCCCTCTTTGGGTGCCCGGGGGCCTTTTGGGGGCTCAGCGGGAGGAGGATGGGGAGGAAAGAGGAGGAGGGACGCGGATATGAGGAGAAGGTAGAGAGATGAGGAACGAGGAAGAAAGGAAGGAGGCAGAGAAGAAAGGAAGGAGGCAGAGGAGGAAATGGTGCGGTCGCAAGTTCACGCTTGGTTATCCAGAGGTTCGGCGGATGAGGCACCTCCTAGGACGCTGCCCTGGAGCTCTTCGGGGCGATCTTGGCTCTTATGGGCCGCCTTTCCGTAAGCAGCGAATGTGCAAGGTTCATGCATTTGTGTTTGAGGCCCGGTGTCAGCTTCTCTGGATGCGTTACCAATGGCCCTTGGTCTCCCGCACGTTTTTTTTCGTGTGAATGCTTGTTGTGGTCTCCCGTCTGTTCTCCCGCATGGTCTCCCGTATGGTTTTGCGCACGGCCTCCCGTGCGTAGAGAAAGACATCGGTGCAGCTATGAGTTCCTCGTGGCCAGCCTTCGTCGTGTGATGTGCAACAGCAGCTCCTCCTCCGCCCTTTCCTCCTCCTCCTCCTCCTCCTCCTCCTCCTTCTCCTCCTCCTCCTATCCCTGCCTCTGCCGTCCATGTCGGCGCACCCACCACACATGGCCCGGCTCTTCTATAGAGCCACGGTATGTGGCCTTGGGTGGAGCTCCCCGCATTAGGGAGGTCCACCTGAGGCCTCACTGGGTGCGTCCACATGCGGCCCCACGACGATTTCGGCACACTCCTAACACGCTTCGAGGCCCCATGGCCAACATTGCCAGCTGCATTCAAACTTCCGTAGACGACGCAAGCGTCGAACATGATCGAATCAGGCACCTGCATCGAGTCGAAAGTGTCGAGAGCGAAGATGCGAATGAATCGGACTCCAACTCGAGCGTAGAGGGGAAAGTACAGTGCGCCTTCGGGGACAACCACGCGGGCCGCACGACCCCATTGCTAGACCCTGACGGAGGCGGGGAAACCGAATTGCTTGCAGCGCATCGCTTGAAAACGAGGGGGGGACAGATCAATTGGAAAGGTGTAGCGTGATTTGGCTGCCCACCCTCAAACGTGCAATGTTGGGTCTTGTGGGCGGCCATGGGGGGGGGAATGAGAATCATCTGAACGTCTTGAGCCCCCAAGGGGTGGGCGTAGTATCCCCTGCGTAGTGTTCATATACAGAAGTGACCAGAAAGGCCCTCCCCGTTGCTCATCCTCCTCTCAATGTATGTTGCGCACGGTGCCCTGCAGGTGGCGAGAGGCACATCACAGATCCCACGACGGAGATCATGCACTGGATGGGGGGCTCCAAAGGACCGGGGGGTCCGTGAACAGGCAGACAGGCTGAGGAGGAGGCGGTGGTGGAGGCAGAGGGCGCAGAGGCGGATGAGGAGGTGAGAATGAGGAGGAGGAGGATCAGCAGCAGCAGCAGGTCCGCATCTCTGTCTCGATCTCCCTCTCTTTCCGTCATGTCTGGTCTCCCGCCTTTGTCTGTGCACAAGTGATTGTACGCTTTATTCCGCCCCCTCACTTCGCCTCCCCCATCCACATCCTGTATTGGTAGGGAGGGCGGTGGGTGAAATACGTGTCATCATCATTTGGCGTTTCATTGCAAATCGGATGCGCGAGGCGCATCAACATGCCATCGATTCCCATGCCACGAAAAATTTCATGAATTCGCTTGCGATCGAATTGTCTCACAAACACACACACACACGCATCCTCGCTCCCGTGAAACAGTTCACCCAGGTGTTGGCGGAAGTCCAGTCACCGTGCCAGCACAGCATTCTGTGTGGCGACCCCTCGAGAATTTGCAGGACGGCCGCAACATGTTACAGCATTCTTTGGGGCTTCTTCAGGGCGATTTGGGGGGCTGTTTGGACATCTGCCCCTTGGGGTCTGCGGACCTCTTGGCCATTCTTGAGACTCCGGGGGGGGTCTTCTTGCAGCCAAGGAGTGTCTGAGGCCGTTGGGAAGTTCCTGGCGCAGTCTTGAAACCCCCTGCGGAGGGAAGTTGTTGTTCCAATTGTGTCAGTGTGCTGTCTTGGTCGAGTCGTGTCGTTACCCCTTATGGCGGGAAGACTGGTCCCGGTCCGTTTCGCATCCTTTCTTCCCAAACTTTCGGCCACACTGCTTGCCTCTTGATCCCCCCACTCGTCTTCTTCGTCTTTCTCCTCGGCTGGCAAGCTCTGGATTGGCAGGCTCGGCTGGAGCAGCTTTATGCAACGGAGTGAGGGACCTCACTTTCGAAGGCCTTAGTGGGTACGGCTGCAGACCGTCCTGAGCCCGTTGCGCAAACAGATGCGAGCGATGAGGAGGATGAGGGTGAGCAGGGTACAATCAATATTTCAAAGTGCCGAGCGACGTTCTAACTATGTTTAGAAGTGTTTGCATGATAACAGTTACGTTTTCTGGATGATTTCGATAACGTGGGTTGTTCGAACACGTCCGTTATCGCGGAAATGAACCAGCCTTCTATCACAGACGTTGATACATGTAGCCTACAGGCAGACGTGTCAAGACATTGAGTTGGTCACCGCTGGTTAGAGGAAAGCGTTCATTGATTCCTGCAGGCGTGAATTCGACCGCAACGGCGGTCATCCGGAGCACCCAATTCGTCCTTCCTTGGTACTCAAGCCCGCCTGGTGCCAGCGTGGCCACATGTGTGATTTCATGTTCGACGTGGCAGTAGTGATCCCAAATAGTTTAGATGTTAGCGTTGGGTTGAACGTCGGTAGATGGGAACGGGACAAGAATGGGAAGCGAAGGTTCAAACAATTTCGCCACGGCTCTTTAACGAACGAAATGCGGAACGGGGGTAACAATATCCAGCATTGTACATGTTGGTACTATCACTTGCGTGGCGGATCAAAGCGGCGCCTAGCGATGTATGTTCCGTATCGCAGCGGTTTGTTGACGCCGGAAGTTGTGGTGTGGACCGCAGCGTTTGACGGACGAGCGAACAGCGCGGGCAAATATGCAAACATGTATTCTGGGGTTGCCGTTTTCGGACCCGCAGTTATGTCAGAATTCTTATACCAGCCACCTTCCGTACCAATTTTCACCATCACGGGGAGGGTGTTCGCGAGAGTTCTGCATCCAGGGCCATCGCAATACCGCGCACTCCAAATTCTTTGGATGCCTGATTTGAGAGGGAGGCGAGAGTGGAGAAACTCTCGCGCATTGTCATGCTTGTCGCCCGTGAACCATAAATATCCAAATCAAATGCCACATTGCACAGACCGCGTTGCCATATGCTTCCCATTACATCTCAAATCCGTGAGATTAATTTGCATTGTGAAACCATTTCCAGCACGGGGTAAAAAAATTGTCGACCATGTTGGGAGGACACAGATGGTCAAACCTCTTTGAATCATTGTGTTGACGCTTGTTTGGACCAGCACCCACATCTACACGGTGGTGAGTTGGCGGTGCTTCCCAGATTGCAGTAACATCGAAATCGTCTTCGAAATCGCATTCTCACTAAACCATGGCACCTGGAGCATGCGGAGGTGGCAGTTTGTAATATTTTCGTCTTGACGACAACAATTGTGGGTTCAACGGAGGTTGCTCATTTGGCCTCGAAATTTCGAAACCGATATCGATGGATATCCAACCTATTTGATTTGATACCGACACCCATGGCAGAAACCGATATGGAGATTTAGACTAGGACAGGTAATTCAAGAGATTGGGTTCCATCGTTTCACAGACTGCGCCGGCCATTCTAGAGATTGTGCCGGCCGTTTTCAGAAATTATTTAATATTTCGTAGATTGGGCACGGGGTGCAGTTTCACAGATTGTCGTAACCATACCAGGCATTGCGCGGCCGTGTTGTTTCAGAGACCGTACAAGCAGCAAAAGAAATGATGCGGATGTTGATGGCGATGGTGACGATGATGGGGAAGAGGAGGACGAGGAAGAACGTGACGTGCCTCGTGCGCCACGTTTGATCGAATAAAAAAGGAAAAAAAGAGCGCACACCTTCAGAGATTGCACTGAGCTGTTTTGGAGAGTGCGCAGGGCTGCTTCGGAGCAATTTCCACTCGCAAAAACCCCAACCCTGCGCCAAAATTCATTTGAAACATCATGCAGACGCAGCCATTGGGGTCTGTTTCGGTGGAGCCCCCACGGGGCCACGAAACGTGTGAGGGGTATGCTCAAATTGATCCGAATCACCACGTGGACGCAACCTTTGGGTAGCTGCGCCGAAATGGGGCAACGAAGCATGTGAGGGGTGTGCCAAACTGAACCCGAATCAGCATGCGGACGCAACCATTGGGGCATCCGGTGGAATTCCCATTGGGGCTACGGAGCGTTGGATGGGTGTGCCGAGATGGACACGGGTCACCATATGGACGCAACCATCAAGGTTTTGGGGTAAAACCTTATGAAACCTAAAAACGGAGAGGGGTGGCCGAAATGCACACAAGTCACCACGCGGACGCATTTCAAGGGTTTGAATGGAGCTCATGAGCCCGAATTACCATGCGAACGCGACCACGGAAACCATCGGTGGACACGGGGCCACGAAACGTAAGGAAACTACCGAAATTGGTCGAGCCACGATGCCGACGCAGCCACGGTTTTTTTTTGGGATAGCCCCCCATGGGGCCACAAAATGTGTGACGGGTGCGCCAAACTGCTCCCGAGTCACCATGCAGACGCAGCCACCGAGCCTTTGGTTGAGTTCATACTGGGGCAACGGATCGTGCGAATAGTGCGCCAGAATGGACCCGAGTTACCAATTGACGCAACTTCTGAAGCTTTTTAGTGAAGCTCCAACTGGGGCTATGGAATGTGTGGGAAGCGCGCCGAAATGAACCCGAATCATCATGTGGACGCAACCATTGGGGCTTTCAGTGCCTGTGAGGGGCGTGTAGACATGGGACGAATGACCATGCGGACGTAGCGTGTGTCGACATGGACTCGAGACACCATGTGGATGCAATCATTGTGGCTTTGGAGGGGCTCCCCACGGGGCCACGAAACTTATGAGGAACGAACGAACGAAGCAGCCGAACGCAGAATGCGCGTGGGCAGGAAAAGGGGGCGAGAGCAACGACACGCCAAATGCGCGCCAGCACCGACAGTTGCACACCAAATGCGTGCACAAGGCGCGCCGGGAGGACGGAGGAGAGGAGGAGGAAGATGAGCATGAAGCCATTGTTTTGCAGCCTGCCAGGGTGCAATCAATAGTTATTACAGCCATTCTTCATTGCTGTCGTGAGTGGCGGCCAAGAGCAAACTTCGTAACAAATGCGATCCAAACAGATTCGTTTTGTGAGGCAATCCAATAAGTCTGACTCTGAATGGAAACAATATAGGATTTTATTGTATAGACTACTTGCCCACTCGTGCCTTGGACGTCCGGGGGCCCGAACGCACGAGTCGGTGGAAGGACGTATGCTGTTTGGTTGAAAACTCAATTGTCTCAACAAATCGTCAGCGCTTGATATTCGTATCTTCCCGAACCATATTACTTGATGCTTCAACAATTGCAAACTATACTTTGGTGTCCCGGCTCTGAGCAAAACTGTTTTATTTGATATTTTAGACACGCACGAATTAGGAATACGCATGGCTTGGCGAAGGCAGCGCGCTTGGAATCCATCCAGCAAGGCCGAGTTCAAAGAATACATAGCTTTGCTGGTAATAAGCGCCCCAAACACTTCAAGCTTTCTTTGTAGGTATTGACGTATGTTTCCATGCTCTCGCGTATCTTTGGGATTCGCCCCATGCGGCCCGTAGTCGCCTGTTGAGTGCGTGTTGGAGCCTCCCATCGTTATATGTAGTTGCCCCCAATATAGAAGATGCTCAACTGATTTGATGATGCTCCCACGTGGATTTCGTAAGCGAAAGTCGCAACTTGTTTTGAAATAGTTGGAATTTATTCCAATGTAATTCTAGACGCTTCGCGTATCCCCACCAGCCCGTCCAGAAATGAGTCCCAGGGGAGTGGAGGTTATGAGGGAAGCGGGGGAGCATGCAGAAGAACAAAGGGCGGGGTGAGCCGCCATATACCCCAAGAGGGGGAGGATGTAGGAGGAGCCGTCGTCGTCGGAGTAGGAGGAGGAAGAGGAGGAGCAGGAGGAGGAGCAGGAGGAGGAGGAGGAGGAATATAAGGAGGAGGAGATGGAGGACTGCGAGGACGAGGAGGACGAGAAGGAGGAAAAGGAAAAGGAGGAGGAGGAGGAGGAGGAGGAGGAGGAGGGGGAGGGGGAGGAGGGAGCAGGAAGAAAAAGAGGAGGAGGAGGAGGACAATGGCGAGCTTGGGGGCCTCTTGGGCCGTCTTTGGGGCCTCTTGGCGGTCCCGGGGGCCTCTTGCGTATCTCGGGGGGCCTCTTGTGGCCTCTTGGGGGTCTCTTGGGGGCCTCTTGGAGGCCTCATGGGGGCCTTTTGGGGCCTCTTGGGGCTCTCTTGGGGCGCTCTTGGGGCGCTCTTGGGAGCCTTCGAGGCGCTCTTGGGGCCATCTTGGAGGAGATCTATCAAAGAAGGGGGGTTCCCCAATTAGCGCTGCCCCTCTAGAGTGCCTCGAGTCGCCTCTTGGGCGCCCCAAGAGGCCAAAATCCTTCCAAAACCTAGGTAAAATCAATGTTTGTTGCTTTCTCGCCTTTTCGCTCTTGGAGCCGTCTTGGGTCATCTTGGACTCTCTTGGGGCCTCTTGGGGGTCTCTTGGCAACGTCTTGGAGGCTTCTTGGGGGCCTCTTGGGGTCTCTTGGGGCCCTCTTGAGGCGCTCTTGGGGCGCTCTTGGGAGCCTTCGGGGCGCTCTTTGGGCCATCTTGGAGGAGATCTATCAAAGAAGGGGGGGTTGCTTATTAGCCCCGGCCCTCCAGAGTGCCTCGAGTCGCCTCTTGGACCCCCCCAAGAGGCCAAAATCCTTCCAAAACCTAGGTAAAATCAATGTTTTGTGTTTTCTCGCCTTTTCGCTCTTGGAGCCGTCTTGGGTCATCTTGGACTCTCTTGGGGCCTCTTGGGGGTCTCTTGGCAACGTCTTGGAGGCTTCTTGGGGGCCTCTTGGGGTCTCTTGGGGCCCTCTTGAGGCGCTCTTGGGGCGCTCTTGGGAGCCTTCGGGGCGCTCTTTGGGCCATCTTGGAGGAGATCTATCAAAGAAGGGGGGTTTCCTTATTAGCCCCGCCCCTCCAGAGTGCCTCGAGTCGCCTCTTGGACCCCCCCAAGATGCCAAAATCCTTCCAAAACCTAGGTAAAATCAATGTTTTGTGTTTTCTCGCCTGTTCGCTCTTGGAGCTGTCTTGGGCCATCTTGGACGCTCTGACACCTC